GTTTCTTGTTCCTGGGTGCAGAATTAGAGTAGATGGCATTAGATTAGCAATCTGCTCCAAATAATCCTTGGCAGTGGGGGGGCCACAGAGGACAGGGGGTGGGATAGGAGACCTGTCCATGGCTCCTGTGTGGAGATCAGGATCTCAATCCAGCTTGATGGTGCTGGCTTGGGGTGATGCCTTGTGCCTGAGTGTGGGGAGTGGGCAGGGTGGTAAGCACTGCTGGGACTGAGGAGAGGTGAGACATGAGGGGGAAGCAGCACCAGGCCTTTCCTGTAGGATTTGTTAAAGACACCATCAGCATGTCTAGGTGGGAAATGAAGATCCCATGTAACAAAAAGGATCGAAGGCCAGATTCATGGAGGGTGGGTCGGGGAGGGATCGTGCCCTCATCCTGCTAAATGAGGTCCCCCAACTGGCTGGTGGGTCTGAGCCTGGTTCCTCCTCTCCCCACTGCAGCACTGCTCAATTTAAAGGGGTATACACACACAGGGTGCAGCCCCCAGCTGTTCCCAGCCCGGTTTGAAGGGAAGGCTGATTTCGGTATCCCCCTGCAGCAGGGACGTGTGAGCTTCTGCTGCTTTCAGATCTGCTCAGAAGACAAGGGCTTTGCCCCAGCTCAGAGTCCTCTAATTATGTTTTCTGGCATGCAGTACAAGGTGTATATGTTGTCCAGCTTCTTACCCACTCCCATGTTCTCCCTGCAGTCCCGGTGCTGCTTAGCCCCACTCTCAGGCACAGGGCGTCACAAGGCTTGGGATCCCAAGATCCGTGCAACTGGGAGCTGTTCCCCACTTCAGGACAGTTCCCCCTGTCTCCAAAACTCAGGCCTGACCCTTTTGCTCCCTGTCAGCCTAGAGCTGGCTCCAGGGAAGCCTGGAGCTCCCCCTGGCTGCTGCAGGGTAGGAACAGCCCTGCACTCAAGTGCTCCCACTGGGAGCAGATTTGTTCCTGATGCAGGTGCACATGTATACACATACCCAGGTGCAGTTTAGGAGGCTGATAGTTTTTACCATGCAACACTGTTCTGCCACATTGTGCTGAGTTGCTACTGCAGAGCAGTGTAAGAGCTGTATAGATCGCTGGGCTGCAAGCTTGGTGGACGCACCATATCTAGTACCCTTTCCATAAAGGCCGGCAAATGCTTGCACTGGGTGCCATGGCTTTTCCAAGCAGGAAAATACACTATGCACCATGCATGCTTTTTATTGGACCATCTGCAATGTAATTAGAGCCCTTGCTGAAAACTGAGGGCTCCGATTGGCTGTGCTTGTGCTTTAAAGCACCCCTAATGTGGGAAAGGTGGAGAGTAGGATCCAATTCCAGCTTTGAGAGAGATGGGGGCAGAGGCGCAGCCCCCCACTCCTCCACTGGAACGGGATCTGTGCCTTGCTCCAGGAGCTGACATACCAGCGATCAATCAGCGACTGGGAGGCAAAGTGGGGGTCCCCTCACAGCCAATCTTGCCGACTGGGGGTGTTCTCCCATGGCCGATCACGTTGACTGGGAAGCAGCCACGGCACTCCTGGAAGTGGCCGCAGCACACCCGGTAGTGGCTGCAGCACTGATGAAAGGAGTTCAGAGCCTCAAGAAGAACAGGAGCTGTGTTCACATCATGTAGTGGTAGATCCTCACAATAAATGTGTTGCTATTTATTACAATGAGAGAGGAGGTTAAATTCTAAAAGGAAACTGTTTTGTTTTTATCAAAAGGATATGACCATGGGAGTGTAATCAGTGCCGGAGTCTGCTGTAAGGGAACAACCCCCTGTATTACAATTATTCACTTACAGTTACATTGCTAGATTGTATTCAAATGATTGGTTTTAATATTCTCTATTGATAATATATATATGTATATATGCCTTCTTTTTGATTAATCTCTTTCTCTTCCTGTATATAGTTATATATATAATAAAGAAACCCATCTGTTCATTGGGCTTGGAGTAAATACTTGGACAGTGAGGGTAAGGGCCAAACCCGCTCCCACGGACACCCATCAGCAGATCTGCCTGAGGGAGATCCCAGGGCTACTGGCACCTTGAGGATCTGAAATCTGGCATATCGCCCAGCCTCGTGCGCCGGCAAAGGTTACAGTAGTATAAGGCTACTGCACAGTAGTATCACTTAAAAGGTGTTTGCTGGTGCTACTGTGTAGTAACTCTTGTTACTGTGAATTTATTTAATACTTCTCTTATACAAGCACTAAATAAATATGTAGTAAAAACTGCAGTAGTGTCTTGTGTAGATGCACCCATTGAACCTTTTTTTAATGCACAGTAACTTTGAGGTTAACCTACACGTAAAAAAAAAACAAAAAAAGCACTCATCAGCTGCTGCAGCAGCTGTCATAGCCTCTGGGGGCTAATGGCAGAGCCTGCCCCTCTCCCCAACACACACACAGCGCAGGGTAGTGGTGGGGCTCTGGGGATCGCCCCCCTGCCTGGCAGGAACCAGTGAGGGCAGGTTATTTTGGGTTTTTTTTAAGGTGCTGGGACACTGGAGCCAGGTGGGGCAGCCATTGATGGGGCTGGGAGAGTGGGTGGGGGATCAGGCCTGTTCAGTTCAGAGATTCGGCCAATACGGCATCCGTTGAATCTCCAACTCAGATTTGGCTGAATTGATTCAGGATAGCGATTTGAATCACTGAATTCAATCACTGTCTCTGAACCGGACGAATCCAAATCCAAAGTGAATACTAGCCGCTTTGTACAGACCTACTGCAGATGACACATATTCTGGACCAGAAGTAGGAAACAATAGATAAAAGATGATCAAAGTAAAGAATCAAAACAAAACTTATTTGCCTTAAAATACATGAACCCAGGAAGGTTTGTTTCTGATTCTGTGCTTCAGCGGTAAGCTGGGCTCTAGGGAACAAATCCCAGAAGCCCTAACAAGAGAGATGTGGATAAAACACCATCATGCAGGATCAGCTTTTCCAAAGCAGTGAAATTCACTGTCTTCTGCAGAGAGAAACTGGTTTGGATCTACTTCTGTCAGGCCACTCTTTGAGCAGAGAGAAAGCTCCTACTAAGATATTTTGACTTGTGAAGGTTTGGTAGTGGCAGGGAAAAGGTAAATCAAACAGATCAGTAGAGGGAAAATAAGCAAAGACTCCTGGCACTGGAGGATGAGATCACAAGCTGAGAAAAACTTCACATTCATTTGTATAATAAACTTACAGCAATGTGGCTGGTTGGTTGGTAAGAAGAGGGACTCTTGTGGAAATTAGATAGATCAATAGAGGGAAAATTATGCAACATTCTTTGTGAAGTTTTTCTCAGTTTAAGATCGATCCTCCAGATTCTTTGCTTAAGTTTTTAATCGCAATTAAATATGGTTGGTTGACAAGAAGGGCAGTGTGTGGGGTATTTAAGAACCTGAAAATGACATTGAAGTGGAAAGCTCTCAGCATTTTAATAGCAAGGTATTCAAAATTCTTCAGCTGGTCAAAGATGAAAAGAAAAGAAAGAAAAAAAAACAGCTCCCTTTAGAAATCTGAAATTGCTATGAAGTATCCACACATTGCAGTGTTTCAGCAACTTGAGATTTTTTTTTTTCAATCAAAAGTTCCTGGAGGCTGCCTATTTTAAACCAATGTATTCCTCCACCCCCATATTGATAGTTCTTCTTCATAAATTGATTATTTTGAAGAAAATGCATGTATTGTGAGAGAGGATATGTTTAACATAATACATTTTTATAAGAATCATCTTTCTAGGCTTAAATTCTAAGCCCCACGGCAGAGATTCAGTATTGCCCAGCAGCACCAGAATTACAATCCCACCTCAGTCATTGCATCCAGATTTGGTTGTTTTCCAGAAAAAATGCTTGAAGGAGGGAGAACTCAGTAAGTCCCACAGTTGATCCCCCTGAAAATGTCTTTTACATATCTGAGTGCCTCTCAAGTTAGGGTTGGGGGACGCAAGAAAGTGAGATGAGGAAATGCATAGTGAGAAGCATCCCTTGCCCAAAATACTTTCAAATTCTTGTATCCAAATGACAATGATCAATGACACAATGTGGAGATAACAGAAGGATGGCATTGGCCTATCATGGCATAGAGATGAC